ACATTATGAAATTGTCGAACTGTGATATTGTGGTTTGGTGAATAAATCACCAATCTTTCAAAACCAAGATTTTACATGGAAAAGGGAAAAACCACAAGACCTAGTGCACAAGTAAATCCACTATGACAATAAGCACTATACAAGACTCACCCAATGGTCTTATGCAAGCCCCATGACTCTCACTAGCCTTTCATCCTCGACACCTTCCAAGCTCAGGCTATGGTTATATTCTTCTGTAGTGTTTAGAAAACCTAGCCAATGTAGACCTTTTAATCTGGGAATAGATTAAACCACCATTATATTCTCACTGTTAAATGAAGCAACCAGTGAAATATAGTGGTAGTTCAGTCCAATAGTTCACGGCTTAAAGGGTATCTGCTAGGTTTTCTAAACCATACAGAAGATTATAACCACAAACTGACTGCACCAATGAAGAAATGATTTTGTATTTTAAAAATTGTATGCTGTTTGGACTAAATGGTTCCATACTTTATCAGATCAAACCTAAGGTGGGAACAGTGTGTTTTGGAGTAGCAGCAAGCCAAGGAGCACTTCTTCTTGCTGGTGGAGAAAAGGGAATGCGCTATTCGATGCCAAATGCGCGAATCATGATACACCAACCACAGAGTGGATGTGGGGTATGAATTCCCTTTTAGTATATCTTACCCAATTTAGTATAAGAGGATAGGAAGCTTTGAATTAACCATTATCTTTTTCTTCCAGAACTTGGATGGATTTATAGTGGTTGTGACAAATGTTTCTGTATAATGCAAAAATTTCCAAATTAAAGTAAATGGTTTATATTGGCTATATTACAAGAAGTAAATGTGAATTGTTGTTTGATGTTCTGTAGTCGTAGGTAACACTAAATCCCTTCCTCTTTTATGCTGTTATCAGTTTTTGTACCATATTAAGATTAGTTTGTAGCATAATTAGGATTATACATAATAAAAATTTGGTAAGCATATATAAAATCTCAAATCTCAACGAGCAATTAGAGGGTTTTTCTTACTGATTTTCATGCATACTTGACATGGAAATAACTTAGTTATATTGTTCACATATGATTCCACTAATTTAGCAAGGTGCGAAGATCTGAAAGTTCAGTATAATTATTTTTTGTTTTATGCTGATCAGAAACAAAATGTTGTAATTTTGTTTCACAATAGAAGTACTGGGAAAAAAAATTCATATTATAAGAGAGTTTCCATTTTTTTTTTTTTAATGTTCTCTATTCTGATTAATACTATTAAAGAACAGCTCAAAGCACAATATTTATTAGTCCTTTTACTAATGCCTAAATTCCTAAATGTTCTTTTTGAGCCTTGCATATGCTTGAGAGGATATAAATCACTATATTGGTAGCTTCAGTATGCCTTACATGATGACAGAAATGCCAGATTCTCTAGTCTCTTTATTGGTTCTACCAAGAGTGTGGTTAAGTATTGTTTCATACTCAAGGAGGGTTTTGAGTACCAACCATCAAACGTTGGGGTGGAATTGGGGTCGAGCTGCTCACCAAGAGGTTTTGAGTTCGATTCCCACCAACAGGTTGGGGTGGGCAGGCCAATTCCCTAGAGATGAAAGCATGTAAGTGCGTGACATCATGAGGGTGGCCTGGGCACCCTTTTGTCTGGCTCACGTGGGGGGAAGTGAGAAGATCTCTTAATCTATAACCAATTTTTGTATTAAAATATTAATGTATGATTTACAAGTGGGAAGAAGAAATACTACTGTGAGGACATGACTTCATGTGTTTGTATCTGTTTTTATTTATATATTTTAATACTTCTGGACCACCCTACGGCCATGAAACATCGGACTTTGAACCTAGCTCACAAGTCACCTCTCAATAGTAAATGGACCTAACAATCTCATAACCTAACAATTTGGCATGTACAGTCAACAAATTGAAAGGGTTGTCTGAGACCTTATGCTATCGATTTGTTTCAAATTCATGAATTCTTTGTGCATTTTTTTTTCCCTAAAATAAAAAAGAATTTCCTATATATTACACGATCTGTTTTGTTTAAAATCCATAAATTGATTTTGCATTTGCTGATTGTAGGGTCATGTGGAAGATGTGAGGCGCCAAGTGAATGAAGCAGTTCAAACTCGCCATGTCAGTGTTTTCTGCCTTCTTAGTTTCATTCTTCAGACAATTTCTTAACCATTATATATTTAATTTTCAGTCTAATTGACTTCAATCAAGCTGAACCGGAATGAACCAGTTCTGTATGAACTTTTACTAATTGATTCAAAATTTAAATGTGGTAGACTTCTACAAGTTGAATTCAAGTGTTGAGAATTGCCGCCTTACAGGGCTATTAGGGTAATTGAAATTTAGGTTCAGCCCTGTTACAAACCTTGGTTATCCAGAGCATCTCTCTTTGGTTAATATTTGAAAAAATTGGAATCTTTTAGAATTTTACAATTTGGAAGCGGATGCTGAGAACTGTTGCCTCACAGGGCTATTAGGGAAAATGAAAATTAGGTTCATCCCTGTTCAGTGCTGGGTTGTTAGAAACAAATTCAGTGTGCCATTAGTTTGTCTTCATTTAGTGACAGACAAACCTTTGGTTGTCCAGGGCATTTGGTGGTCTATATGTATTCAAATAATTTTCGATAATAATGCCATGATCACCATTTTGAAGAAGCATGGATATATTGTCAGCAGAAGCACCTACGATGAAGGGGTGTCTCTATTCTTGCTGAGCTATTTTTCCTATGCTTACTGGTCCAAAAAGTCACATAGGAAAGAAATAGGTTGGAAGCTCAAAATCATTCTTGGGCGTGAGCCTCATGCACTGGACATCCCCTTATGCTTGGAAGGCTATGCACCCGTGATTATTGCTTTTCAATACTGTGCTCAACATGTCCTCAGTTTCCATACGAACTATTTCTCTGTGCTTTATTTAGTCAAATTTGAGTGCATAGTTGTGTGCTTCATATTAAGCCTTTTAGATGTATTTGATGCAGAAAGTCGACAATATGTACGTTGCTTTTACTGGCCAATCTCTAGAGAAAGTGCAACAGTACACTGAGAGGGATCGTTTCTTATCTGTTTCTGAGGTAATATTGCTATCTCATGTCTTTAATTAAAGAGTTTTGTAAATTGGTAGTGACATAAATTGTTAAATATGAGGAGAAATGTTTGGTTCCCCTCTCCCAACTTTTCCAAGCTTCATTCGAATTGGAAGGGAAGGAAAGGGGGAACAAGAAATTTTAGCAGAGAAGGGAGAAAACAGAAGGAAAGTCTGCTAACTTTTCTAATGTTTTTGTAAGTTGTTTTCCATGCTTAAATTTCAGTGTCAATTAAATCGGTATGTTTATAAAAGGTTGTGTAAGAAAATTTCGTGCTCAGTGTACTCGGTACATAATATAATCTATTATGACAAAGAACAATTACAGAATTATCATAAACAGCTTTTAACCAAATTAGATTATACTTTTCTAGCATCTAATATCTACTCAGCTTGGTGTGGTAACCTTGAGCTTTCTGTTGCTTTTTATTGCAGGCAATGGAATTTGGGCTTATTGATGGCGTGTTGGAAACAGAATATTGAATTCAAAGTTTTACCATTTCATGTTTGCTGTAAAATTGATAAAGTGGGCTGCATTTACAAATTATGATCGGCAATTTGTTGTTCCATTAGTTTTGAATGCCATTCTATGAAGTTGTGACTGTCCATTAAAAGGAAAAAATAAAAAGAAGTGATTTTGGATGATGGATTCTTTAAGAGGAGTTTGGCTACAAAAGTATGGCCAGAGGGAAAAAAAAAAGCCAGATGAGGAAATGTATTTAGGGGTTTTACCATGAAAGGACAAATAGGAAGGCAAAATGTTAAAATAGTCCAGCTCCTCCAAAATTAGACAAACTGGTGACAAGACCGGTTTGTCTAATTTGTGAAAATGATTTTTTGTAACATTTGCTGATGTATTTATACTCGGGGTTTTTGTTTTTGGTTTACTGATTTACTACTATCTTATGACAAAAAATCACATTGTCATTCGCTAAACTTAGAGGGTCTTTAATACATTTAACACAATGTATTGTTGAATGAAAGTTATTTCTCTGATCAAAACGAAAGAAACCTTTAACTACATTGTAAAAAACACTCGAAATAAAAATATACAAATTTATAAATAAACCCAATACTAGATATGTATTTATAAAAAAACCCAAGCATTATTTAGACATGGGTTTTTTTATAATTTCAACCTTCATTTTGGGTGTTTTAGTGAAACTCCCATAAAAATATTTGACAAAGAAGCTCTAAATAAATTTTAAAATGATCAAACCTTGACAGCCATAGCCGCCTTATTATGGTTGATTTTCGGATGGATGGGATCATAATGAGGAGATTCTAATTCAATATAAAAAAAATTAGGAATTTTAACATTCATTCAGATTTGAAAGATAGTTGTTGAAAATTTTAAAATGCCCAATGATTCTAAAGGGTAAAATTGATTCAAAACCGAAAAAATCATATGGCAAAGCTCAAAAAGCTATTATATATAATTACTTAGATTTTTTATTTTTTTATTTTAGAACAAAGGGGAGATTTTATTAACCACGAAATCGATACAAAGCAAAGATTAGCATGTTAAGAGTGGCCTAGTTAAAACTTTCACGCGAAAAACCCCAATAAAAAATAATTTTTCTATGTCTATTATTATTAAGGCTCATAAGTGTTTATAACAAAAGCGTTTTTATTATAAAAATTTAGAATTTTCATAAAAAATTAAAATGCTTCGTGAAAAAGCACTGGGGAGTACTTCCTGAATAAGCACATAACAGGTGCTTCTCCAGGAAGCGCTTCTATGACCCAAAAGTGTTTCTAATCTTTTCTGCCAAATGCTGTCAAAAGCGCTTTTAGTTATCAAAAAACGCTTTTTGCCCTTCCAAAAACACTCTCAAACAGGCCCTTAGCTGAACATGAAATTAGTCATTATATATAGTCTACTTTTACAACCCGAATATATTTCAAAATTTAGAAATTTTGGAATCTTAGATACATTCTAATTCCTTTTTTTTTTTAACTCGGAATTTTTGGATTTTATAACTTTCGGATGTAGGAATTGATATAGGCTCGCCAAAATAAAAAATATTCAGATTGTAGTCGAAATCGGAATTTCCAATCAACTTTTACCCCCCAACTCCAAAGTTGAGGAGCCAGAGGACGCGCGGCACCATCAACTTGTTGGCGAGTTTTGTTTGACACAACTTATGAGCTTCTTCCAATTTGACAAGAAGACCAACCTGAATCAAAAGCATAGTGATCATCTTCAAACAAAGCACTGAGAGAAAATGGAGGACAAGGGGAAAGGAAACGAAAGATGGAACGGAGCCATAAGCAATCTGACAGAAATGTCCTTCAATTTGGAGTCACTCCAGAAGCTACTCCTCAAAAAGGCTGTCTTTGTTGACGAAGAAACCTTTGCCAAAGCCTCGCTTTGTTCCGAACAAGCACGAACCATCAAGGTTTTTGGCTTTATTCAACTCTTTATAAATATGTATATTTTTTAATTAATTTTACAGTCTGGGTTTTCATTTTTGTATGCAATCAGGTGAATTTTGTTGTGCAAATCTTGTTGAGAATATTAGGTTCTTACTTGTATAAGTTTTTTTCTTCTCTGATAATTTTGGGTCTCACTCTAGGCTGGACAATGATTTTCCCTTTAAAAAAAAATTTTAATTTTATAATATTTTATGAATATTAAGTTTAAGCATCTGGCGTTTTGATAGTCTTGATCAATATATGTTGAAGAAGGGTGAAGCCCTGAATTTAAGATCTGGGCGTTAACCTTTCTTTATACTCTTTGTATACAATTGTTATAGAACGGATGATAATGCTAGTTTTGAGTAGCCAAGTTATCCAGAACTAGTTTTTTCTAGGTTTCTGGCCTGAGGAAGAAGTTTTCTTTTAATCGCCCACATTTGGAGGGATCATGCACATGAATTTGAATTTTTGTAACGAATGAAGTAAAATACCCTCTTCTGTGGATCTTATTAACAGTCCTGTTGACAATTTCCACCTGCAAGCAACCATTATCCTTGCTTGTCAAGCCTGCTTGGTTAGGGACTGGGCGTGTAGTGTCATGTTTATTAGAGAGGAATATGGTGGCCGATTGCTTGGCTAAGCTGGGTTCTATTTTTATATGTGGTCTTCCCCTTGTTTCCCTCTGCTGTTCTTCTGTTGGGTCTTTTTTGGTTGAGAACCTTATTGGGGTCAGTCATCTTAGAGATGCTTGTTAGTTCTTTTTGTTTTAGACCTTTTAGGCTCCGGCTACCACCAAAAATTTAAATACCAAAAGATGTTATTTCTAGAAATATCTAATTTTGTAAAGTAATTTTGCCGGCATGCGTTTTGAGTTCTTCAGTTTTGTGGCCATTTTAGAAAGAGCTGATTGCATTTAACAAACTTTTGATGAATGTGGAACTACTTTTATATTTTATTACCAATTCCTTTCGTGAAGCCTTGATGTTCATTTACCAACAACATATTAAAATCAGGCTTGATGCTATGGCTGTGAGATTCAACTAAACGATCTAGCTGAAAAGCATTTTATTTTCTTGCGTACCATTGAATTTTATATTTCAGTGCTGTGCAGTCTATTAATAGCATTCTTGTGTACCAATAGAAGTGAGACCGATTCCATACTTCATTCTACGAATTGGTGTGTTTTATGTTTAAAAGCTTTCTTTCTGTCTAGGTTCTTGAGCAAAGAGTAGAAACTTTGGAGAGAGAACTTGATGCTGCCATTACAGCTGCTGCTCGCGTTCGTTCAGAAAAACGACAGGCTGAGGCAGCAGAAAAGGCTGCTGAATTACATGCACAGGAAGTTACAAAAGAGCTCGAGAACACCTCAAGTATGTGCAATCCAAATATCTCCTTTTTACCTTTTATTTGTGCTGTGAGTATTTGTAGGCTTACAAATTGTAAGTTCCTTGAGTATAAGAAGTCTGATACTATTTTGTAGTAAATGGTTCTGTGTTAGCAGTAATCACCAACACCAATATTGACTTTCACATCTAGCGAAACCTGGACAGATTAATATCCTCATAGCTTGTTATGTCCTCCTTACTAACTGAAGAACCATGGGCCGCTAAATTTGTAATGGCAAGGATTTTTGTTGAATGGCCTTCAATTAGGACTAGAGATAAATAAATAGCGCATCTGCAGTTACTTAGGCTTTTAAAAGGAGATTGATACTTCCAAATTAGTTCCAAGCTGCACCCATAAGAAAATATTATTCCAAACAATTAAAGGGTGATGCTTCAGCCTACTTTTGTGGTTTTTTAAAGCATTGAAAAGGGGAACCATTTGGGTCCGACATTTTTGTGTAACATGGAAACAACAGCAGAAATAGTCTCTTTTGGAGTCTTGTGAGATATGAGTCCCACCAACCTTGTTTTAGATGGGAACATCAGCTGAATATCTCCTGGGGTTCCTTTTCAAGCTTAATCCAATCTTTCCGGCTCATACATTTATGTACAAGTTTCCTTAAGGCTCTGAAAGACCTTTGCTTTCGCTCACTCCTACAACCTTCCTCTAATACCAGTTGCTAGGAAGTTATGGTCCAACTACCAAATTCCCTAGCCCAAAGATCACAGTGACATACAAACACAATCACAAAGAAAACACTAAAAGTAGCAAGCACAACCATAGAAATACAGGATTTACTTGGTTCTCAGTCAGATTGGGCTATACTCATTGACAATGATCCACCCTCAAAAGAAGAAGATTTAGGAAATAGTCTTTCCCAAACTCTCAAAAATACTCTCATCTCAACCTATTTGCAATAGAGAATCCCAATACACAACCTCGCAACTCCCTAAATGCTAAACTCTCTCAAAGAGTCACTCTAAATTCTCTCTAAGTCAATGTATTGTGATTAATGCTCTACAAGCCAATTTATAGGCTCTAAAATTCTTAAGTTGCAACTGAAAAAGAAAGCCAAATCCAAATTGGAAACTGAAATACAAGGAGGAACAAACTTAAAGGAAGTCACTATAATTGTATTTTTAATTTTGCCTCCTGTACACGTCCAAACACATCTTCTTTTGTATTTCTTTTGTCCTCCAATAAAATTCTTGTTACCTATAGAAAAAAGAAAGTGATGACTGTACCTCTGAAACTGTGCCCACGTACTTGGCACAGTACCATTTTTCATGAAAAATCATGAAAAATATAACAGACTTCACCACAAAGGCCATTTCAGTACAAGAACTGAAGTTCATGGGGACCATGTGAGCCAAATTGAAAGTCAGGGATGATATTGAGATATGGGCCAAAGTTCCAGTTCGGTGGTGTATTTATCCTTCTATATTTGTTTAATTCTCTAATTCAAGTCTTCTCTGGATTTGATAGGGTAGTTCCAATCTATGAGTAAACTTTGTTCGACTAGAATTAGGAACCCCCATTGGGCAAAAAATTGTTTCCAAAGTACATATAAGCTTTACGTTTTTGTGCATTATTTATTTAGGCTTAATGTTATCATAAGCTTTTGAGCACACTGGGTGAGATATGTCTCCCTTTATATCTCTAGCAGAGTTAATAACCCTTCGTATTTATTTTCTCATGAGCAGTATCAGGGAAAAAGGCTTGAGTATCTTACATCTTCCTAAAATTGATTCAAGTGGAGTGCTCAAATTATTTACTAGTGAGGGTTTCCCCAAGCTCCAATTTGATTTTCCCCAAATAGTTCCAATTTTGCGCACGATTTTTTATTTTCCTTTTTTTGTTGTTGAAATGTTAAGAAACATCTAGTTTGTTGAACTACATCTTTTGGGGTTCTATTTTTAAGGATGGAGAAATTTAGGTCTTCTTTCTGCCCTTTGGTTGTGTTAATGGCTTCATGAATGAAAACATTCATGAATTTACGTTTCCTTTATAATGCTGATTTTTATTTTCTTTGGGGTCCTTCTTATCAACACAATTATTTGGTGGTGCTGTAGAATATAGTAGCTGTTTCATTGGGTTCCATATCATTTGGCTGACGACTGTTTGACTTTGAAGTTAAGTTAATAATACTTTTGGCATGAAGCTTTTACTGTTACCCAACTAAAGCATTAATGATACGGAAATCAATTTTGAAAGACTGGAATTTCTTAACAATTGGACACCATTCCACCAGTTATCAGAATAAGCATTGTCTTTGCTGAATGCATATAGAAAGAAAAACTTGTTTTCTGGAGGTATTGCAATAATCTGATTATTATTGGTAGAGATGGGTTTGGATCTATCAATTTAAATTTAAATACATTGGTGTAAGCTTGATATGCAATGTTGGCCCATTCTCTGATAGCCTAAGATTTTTGGGCGAGTGGTTGTCTAACATGGTATTAGAGCCTTTCCTTGTAAGTGGTCCTGAGTTCGACTCTCGTTTCCCACTTCTTTGTTGGTTTGCAGGGTGTATGCTGGGGCTACACCTATATATATATATATATTTGTCTCTCTTCTCCTATTGGTCTGCCTCTCCAGTTGCAGGATGAGGTGCACGTGAGGGAGGGTGTAATCGTGATATACATTGTTGGCCCAATCCCTAATAGCTTAAGCTTTTCGGGCTAGTGGTTTTCTAACAATTGGAACCAGAGGTGTGGTATGTGTGATGAAAGTCATATGATATAATTTTATTATTTGGTGCAGAGGTATTTGAGCTGCACATGGAAGAGTTGCGGGCAAAGCAAGAAGAAATAGTTAAGCGTGATAAGGAAATCAAACTCTTGGAAGCTATAATTCAGACGCTTGGGGGAAAGGAGTCGCATTCGAGAAAAGGGTAGAAAATCTGTCTTGTGAAATTTAGTATCAAGTTGGTCCTTC